TATGCGAGCTGTTATTACAGCGGGGGAAAACCTCGACTTGGTTGACGCAGCTACGGCCACTTCAATATTAGTGAGACTGACGACTTCAACGGTGATAGATGGAGGTATGCTGATCTTCATCTATTCGAATGGCTCGATCTCGTTCTTGTTGTTTTCAGAGAAATGCAGTCCCATCATGCTTCCGAGTAGATTTTGTGACCCTGTAGGAGAGTCTATCGTCAACTGTATTCTCCGGAGTGCTACTACTGGTCGTCATTTGTCTACCAGAGACCTCGACCGGGCCAGTCAGTGTAGGGTCCATCCCCTGAGGTTTTCATGAGCCGCTTTGTTAGGTTTGTCTGGGCTAGCCCGGCTGCAGCTTAGGCCCGCTGATACCGAAGCACTCGAGCGCTGTCTGGCCCACGCGATAACCAACTCGATGTCGTCAAAGAATGTTCCGTTTTTACTTAGCATTTTTCACAGTATGTGGAAACTCGACTTGAAGAAAGCTGCATTGTGTATCAGTGAAAGCATCATGAAGGCTTTCTGTGAGGTGGATGCCGTTCGCGCTGTGTAAGCGATCTCCTGAGTGCCTCCCGGGCATGATTCGTGTCAGATATTGCGCGGCTTGCTCGAGCGTGCCTCCAGCCCGTAGTTTCCTCCCATTGGCGTTGCTGCCTACGAAGTTGACTGCAGTAGAGTCGTCCCAGTTGATAACAGCTTTATCGGTTATGCATCTCGACTGCCTTCGAATGAGTGATACACTGAGCCTCGATGAGCTCAGGGCCTCTCTCGCTTTGTAAGCAATCATTTCGGGCAAGATGCTCTGCTATCGCTCTACCTTGGAAACTTGCCTGAAGGCCCGCACTGTCTTTTCCCGTCAGACTCTCGACGGCCGACCGACGGAGGCACCCTCAAGTTTCACAACATGATGACTTTCGCAACGAGATATGCGAGGTTTTGGAGGTATTATCAACTCCATGTATAGTAGATCCGAAACTATTTTGGACATGATTGTTTCTGCATGAACGTTTCCAGCATTAAGATGGCATTTTGAGTTAAACTAACATACATATGAGTTGAACGCTGACAATACGGGACAATGGGGGCATTCTGGGTGCGATGCACGACCCTGGTCCAAGGGTCCCGGCGATGCATGTGATGGCTGACCTGTGATCATGATTGTGGTTATGATGTGGTTTTAATGCGAATCATGAGTGTAGACCATGATGATGACGATTTTATGAGTTCTGACCGTTGCACTGAATGTCACAAGTAGTAAAAGAGAAAAGAAATCAAAGAAAGCGCTGAGGGGAGGGAATCCGTGAGACAAGTTGTGGCACCCAGTGCCGTTGACTGGGCAGACGCACCCTTTGGATGAGTCGAAAACCGCCTCCATTGGAGGCGGTTTTCGCGAGCCACGCGGCTCGAACGAAAACCACAATATGAGGTTCAATTCAACCGCACAAGTGTAGAATCCGTTACGAGAATTGTTCAATTCAAAATTCTCGAGAATATTCAGTAACGATGTATCACACTATGTCAATGGAGTGTGTTTGTGTAGCATATTATCGTCCGTATATGACTGCCCATATATTACCACCTCCTCTTACATCATTTTCCACATTGCAATTTGCAAACACGATCAGTATGAACTGAGCAACACCAATAGAGTTATAACCCTTGAAGCATATATCGAACACAGGCCATATACAACATTCCACGGTGAAGCGTTGGAGTCTCCAACATGAGATATATACTCTAGGTAAATGAAGCTTGTGCAACCAGAGACACCAGTTGAATACAAAAATCTAGTTCATTACACCAGAGCGTGAGTTCCGAACTCAGAGTTCGCATATACCATGGATCACGTCATGCTCGTGCATCACTGACAGTAATTTACTGTACTACTAATAGGCGAAGATCTCAGAACCCGATTCATCGAATCAATCTCTTATCTCCCGTAAAACTGCTCTGACGATACTCTTGTGCGCGCCATACACAGTGTGTATTACACACGCATCAACTTGGGGATTCGAACATTTTAGGACCAATCTCTGGTCACAGGATTTCAGTTCCAACCATACTTGAGAGGGCAGTGCCCTCGGGGCACCCGTTACCACGGATAATCAGCCAATTCCCACGCGCTCGTTTGAATTCAGCTTTTTCATTTGCAGCCCTATTCAGTAGGCAGATCGCACCTGCGTGATTTCGTAGAAGGTTTAGGCGCGCTCTCTCAGGCTCTCTCAGGGGCCCCAACCCCTGGCGCGCACTGATGTCATCATGGCATATGTCGAAGCTTTGGGCAAAGCATGTTCCCAATACCTAGAGAACCTACTTCAATTTGAAAAATTTCCTCCACTGCACATTTCGCCTCGGACGACCGTCACGCCATTGCATCGAATTTCAACAGTGGGGATTGAACCCAAGGCCTTGAGATAGACCCGCACAAAACGAGTAGTTTTCACGTATACGGCAGTGAACTGGAGCACAGCCTACAACCCATTCACGTGATTTGAATAAAAATTGATGACGGCATTCTGCTTCTTCTCGTACGTTCTCCCCTACGTCACAGCTCGGGTGGTCGGCAATGACCATTTCAGTGGATTTGGTCCTGGGAACGGCGATCCAAACGACGAATTCTATCCCGAGCAGAAGGCTTATCTTGAGGCCATCTCAGTACCGGAGGCATGGAGCATCTTGGCAACTGCTCCCAAGAGAACACCCGTGACCATCGCAGTTATTGACGACGGAATCGAGGCCGATCATCCCGACTTGAAAGGCAGGGTCATCGAGGGCTACAATGTTATTGATAAGAATACTGATACCCATCCTCGAGGACCGCATGGAACCATGATGACTGGCATTCTCGGTGCTATCACAAATAACAAGATCGGTATTGCAGGTGTCGTGGACGGTGTGCGTGTGCTACCTATATTTACGGGTGAAAAGGCAGAGGGAGCCACGGATCTTGACGCTTTCCAATACCTTATCGATGAAAGAAAGGATGTGAAAGTGATCCTGTATACCGCTACGTACAAACTAGCCTATCCCCCTTTGCTGAGGAAGATCCTGGAAGCAGTGATAGCTGGGATGCTCGTTGTTGTGTCGGCAGGGAATAATCACGTTGATATGGACGTGACCAAAGAATTTCCTTGTACTCTCAGTGGCCAGCATCGTGATGGAGTCATTTGCGTGGCAGCGACAAATGATACCAAAATGCAGCTCGACGACGAAAGCAATTTTGGTTCGACTGTTGACATCGCCACTCCAGGTTACAGACTACTTGCAACCTCAACTGGTGGAACATATAAACTTGTTACAGGGACCTCGGCTGCCGCCGCCATTGCAGCAGGTGTGGCTGGAATGCTGTACAGCCTTGAACCTTCTCAGAAGGCTGAACTGACCCCTAATTACATCAAAACGATCATCAAGGAAACAGCTACACCAGGTGTGAAGGACAATAAAGGGAAGAAGACTTTATCCTTCGGTCGTCTGGATGCTGTGGCAGCGGTTCGTAAACTACTTCAGCAGTAGGAGATTCAATTTCCTTTATCGTGGTCTCGAATCATCAAGATGATAGAGTCAGCTCAGACTGAGATTCTCAGTATCTTGACCGTCTTTTTCTCAGCGGACGGTTTATCGATTCAGCTAGTATTTTTTTGATATGAATGCAGATCTCAAGATTTTTGCTTTTCCCTCCCTTTGCCTATCTTCTATCGTCGGTATGAGTTGTGCGGCCAGTGATGCTGGCCAGTATCACTGTAGTGCTGAATCTAGCTGTGGCATTCCTCATCTCCACTCCTCGCTTCAGCGCTTCGCTCAGACCTCAATGATGCCCCGCTCAGCTCCGCCAATAGTGGGCACTTGACTGTCGGTGACAGCCTCTCTCACTATTGTTTCATGCGACCTTTCAACTCTTCTATTTCTACTCTGTCCACACAATCCTCCGGGTCGAAATTCGTCGTCCGCGTTATAAATCTGCATACGGGTTTCAGATGTGTGGATAAATGATATTCACGGAGACTCCACGAAAGCAGATCTCAAAGGTTTGATTGATTGCCGGGGTTGATCGGTGAGTGCCACCCACCTGTAAAGGTACGACGGTCGGACCTTTAATACGAATCATGAGTGTAGACCATGATGATGACGACCTTTGTCGGACTCCGACCCCCAAGGTCGCCGTTGAGAGCATCAGCTTCGGTACGAGCGAGATCAAATGTTAACGATATAGACTTTTCGGGTCTCGCAGATGATGCTTGTGGTCGTCACTCTATTGGAAGAGCCAGTGTTTCATGGACGTACACAGCTACCTCAATTATGGTAGCGGAGGTATCCTCAGTTTGCTCTATCATCTGCCTGAGCACTAGTCTGTGTGCTCAATGAACTTCCCTCTTGGAGTAAGATACATCGGTGGTAGTCTGACTAAGCCGGGCGTTGGACTTTAAACTCACACACACCCACCTATCAACCTCTCCGACCCTAACGGCACTCAACTAGATCGAAGTGTTATCAACTAATTCAAAGTTTGGAATCGGCCGTGAAATTACATGTGAATTTATCCGGAACTCCGAACCCTATGCGCACGTGCGAGACGACACGTGTTGATCCTAGCAGGTCGAAGGAGTCGGCTCGAGTGAAACACTTGATTGTGTTGAGTGATCCTCGTAGTGGAATAACAGGAACGGAGCACTCGAGTATCAATTCTGGTGGTGATGGTTCCCCTCACGGAAGGAGAGTTCATGTGGCTAATGGACTACCACTGTCCATACCTCTGCAGGCTGGGACTTCCGTAGTGGTACTCCCCTCAACATGCAATGATGTTTCTGTATCCGCCCGCCCCGAAAGTACTTACTGCAGCGGGGAGGAACGGTTCGAATTTTCACTAACGGTGATTAACATTATTCGTTTCCCGATTATTGAGTTAGAAGTCTTGACTCGTCAAAACCAAGCGTTCGAGAGGTGCTTCATTTGGAGGGAATGACACAATCTCTCGGCTCTTGTATTGTTCCATAGTTTGATGGAAAAGGTGGACATCTCAATTTCTCATCTTGTTCAATCCGCATCTGACTATGGTGTTCGGAAAGCGACACGAATTATAACTTTTTAATGAACTCGATAAAGATCGAAGACGTCAAAATCTGTCCATCTTTCATACGAGACCACGAACACAAAGTTCACGGCTGAACCGTATTGCAGACACCATCAGTTTAGCAGTATTATGGAATGAACCCTCCACAATGAGAAGGGGTCAAAACGAGTATACTGCGGGCAAAATTGACTAACACAAACATTCTAATTTTGAGTCTCGAAAGCTGTTTTCCCGCTAAACGAGTAACAATGACTTCGCGATGTTTACTTCCTAGTCTGCTGGCCGGCAATACGGTTCTTCTTCATGCGCAAGTGACGGTCTTCAACAGTGGAGAGCTGGACACCATCACCCTTAGGAAGGGACACCCAAGGCTTGCCCTCATGACCAATGACGAAGACGTTGGAGAGACGGGTGGCGAAGTTGTTACCAGCGGCATCACGGACGTGAATGATCTCGAAGTTGCCGGGGTGACGCTCACGGTGGGTGATAACACCAACACGACCAATGTTATTACCACCGGTCATCATGACGGTGGCGCCGATCTCGAACCTGATGGGCAATGATTATGACAAAGTTGCAAGGAAAATGAGCGGAGCGAAGCATGATGAGATGAGGGAGAATTTCGTCAGACCATCTGCTGGATAGTCCGCACGTTATAGGACTTGGTAAAGCAGTGTTGTACAATTTACGCAATCATCATTCGAAATCTCGCTCATGCCACCGGCCCGTCAAGTAGGAGGCGACACTTACTTGAGGAAGTCGAGAACCTTGCCGGTCTGGATGTCAATACGAACCGAGTCGTTCTCCTTGATCTCGGGATCGGGGTAACGAATGGTACGACCATCGTGAGTGTTGGCGTACGGGACACCCTTGGAGCCCATGTAGACCTTCTTAACCCTGCAGAGCTTATAGGCGGCCTCGTCGGGATGAATCTTATGGATGGCGAAACGACCCTTGGTATCGAACAACAATCTGAAAAGGAAGACAGTCCTTAGAGCAAGAAGAAAGCTATGCGTGGGATGGTCCAATGGTGGTAACAGTACCTTCTGGCTAGTCCCCTAGCCAAATACCCGGACCTATCCCTTGCTCAACAGTGGGCCGTATGAAGCACAGAGATGCTTCATAGGGTCTTGTTGGCAAATATTGTCTCGTAGGCAGCACCTGAAGTTCTCCTTGGTCTTTTCGATGGTGATAACATCCATGAAACCAGCGGGGTAGGACATGTCAGTGCGAACCTGAGAAACCACAGTAGAACACTTCATAAGGGAACAAGACGTACCTTGCCGTCAACCTTGATGAGCCTCTGCATGACGATCATCTTGACCTCGTTGTAAGTAAGGGCGTACTTCAGACGGTTGCGAAGGAGCACGATGAGAGGCATGCACTCACGCAGCTTGTGAGGACCAGTAGAGGGTCTGGGGGCCCACACGCCGGCGAGCTTGTCGAGCAGCCAGTGCTTGGGGGCGAAGACGCGCTTCAAATGCTTCTTAGGACCGCGAGCCATGTTGTCTAGAACGGGAAAGACCTTTCGGAAAGACGACTTGTGGGAAGAGCGAAGAAAAATCGATCGATTATACCACGATTAGCTACGTTGAGGAAATTCAAGAAATGCAAGATTACGCAAGATCGCGTCCAGATCACTGGGCCTCTTTCACTAACCCCTTGTGATTGACGAATCTTACGGTTAGGAACCTAGCATAGCAAACTTAGAAAACTGTAAGTACGTTTCACTAGTCCCTCAGCCTTGAGTGTAAGGGAACCAACCTCAAGAATGAGCTCAAGTGAGATCTTAGGTTAGAACTGAGCAAGTTCTCGTAAACTGACGGGTAACTTGAGAAGTTGTGCGTAAATTTGAACCAAAATCAAACCTGAAAAGAAGCACAAGTCGAGAAAGATGGATCATTAGAGTTTCACCCGTTTTACAACCTTGTAACTGATAATGTTGTTATCTTTCTGTTGGCCACTAAATTGTGTGTGCGGAGCCATCTCGGCCTAGCTAGCTTGAGTTTCCCACATTGCAGCCGTTTTGTGGGGACTCAATGTGAGTAGATTCAATAGTATTCAGCTGGCTCAAGACTTATTATATTTTTCGTCGTAAAATGGACGACAGTATGACAGCTGGCGAGCTCCGACGCCGTTACGGTCCCGGAGGCTCTGCGCCTGATTCCGATCTAACTGCCAGCCAACTTCGAGCCAGACATAACATTCACAATAATTCCTTCAAAAATGACGGGAATGGTGAGAATACTTCATTTCGTAATGGTATTTTACATCTTGTGTCAATCAGGTATGAGTCCAACGGTCATCGTTGCTCTCATCGTCCTCATAGTTGCTGCTGTAGGAGCGATGATGAAATTCTCGTCTTGACTGTTTTATGTGAAATGTAACATTTTTTGATAACCAGTTGTGTTGCGCTCGTCCAGTGGTGTGTTCCAACCTAAGCTGTAGTAGTGCTGTTGCAAATTCCATCTAGTGATAGTCTATTATTCCCAGCACTTTTTATCAGCTTGAGCAGTCCATTATCTACCTGAGATGTGATGCAGTGTGTGAAGTTGAAGTACCAGATTTATTGAGATTCTTCTCGCTACTGTCAGTATCACGTATGTGATCGAAGTAGCCATACAGTATTGGAGTAGGAATATATGTTCGCTTCCCTCAGCCGAGCTCAGGAGCTTCCTATACAGTGTTGGAGGAATATACGTTTGCTTTCCTCAGCTGAGCTCAGGAGTTCCCTATACAGTGTTGGAGGAATATACGTTTGCTTTCCTCAACTGAGCTCAGGAGTTCCCTATACAGTGTTGGAGGAATATACGTTTGCTTTCCTCAACTGAGCTCAGGAGTTCCCTATACAGTGTTGGAGGAATATACGTTTGCTTTCCTCAACTGAGCTCAGGAGTTCCCTATACAGTGTTGGAGGAATATACATTTGCTTTCCTCAACTGAGCTCAGGAGTTCCCTATACAGTGTTGGAGGAATATACGTTTGCTTTCCTCAGCTGAGCTCAGGAGTTTCCTGTACAGTGTTGGAGGAATATATGTTTGCTTTCCTCAGCTAAGCTCAGGAATTCCCTATACAGTGTTGGAGGAATATACGTTTGCTTTCCTCAGCTGAACTCAGGAGTTTTCTATACAGTGTTGGAGAAATATATGTAATCGCTTTCCTCAGCTGAGCTCAGGAGTTTTCTATACAGTGTTGGAGGAATATATGTAATCGCTTTCCTCAGCTAAGCTCAGGAGTTTCCTATAGTGTTGGGGGAATATATGTTTGCTTCCTCAGTGAGGAAGCAATTTGCCTCCTCACTCGAACTTGCGAGTTTCCGTACTAGCTATGGGAGAACTCCCATGCGAATCCGCGTAGAAGTGTACATAAGAACAACAAAAACTTCCCGAGGCTTCCATACTATCACCAACATACGTAGTTAACCATGTAAATGCCTCCTCACGCTGTAGCTATCGGATGA